TAAGTAGGAGAACTTTTACAAACTCTGAGATATGACACATCTTTCCCCCATTCGCCATGCCTCTGCCCTGTCTCGTAAAGACAGATGAGCCATCTGTGCCCCTAACTAATGACTGCATGCCAAAATGAAGAGCCCGGGGTACAATTAGGAAGCCGTGGAGGAAAACAACATTGCTGTTTTCTCTTTCATTAAACATTTATAACAAGAATTTAGCAAGACTGTATTTTATAATGGATACATTTAAAGTCTTGTCAAGTCCTTTAAAAGTGTGTTTTAGCATTTGATTAAAAAACATTAGTAGTTAAAATTAATAATTATTTTTAAAAATGAACTATTACATAATGAAAATTTTTTTTTGCTTTTTGGTAGAACTTACCTGAGAGGGCATATGGCCCCAGTTGCTGTTAACATGGGCCGCCCTTTGACAGCTTTATTTGTTCTGAAGTAACTTGTCAGCTTCGACTTTCTGTTTCTACTGGAAGAGTTTGGGTAACATATTCTTCTGGAAAATTATCCATTTTCTCCAGTTCTTAATTTATTTGCCGCAAGCTGAACAAAGTAGCTTTTATGATTTTTGGTTTCTTTTGGTTCTGCGATATTTTTTTCCTTTTATCTTTTCATATGCTGTGTGTTTGTGCTTTCTTCATTTTTTTTCCTTATTAAGTTTGCTAGTAGTTTATCAGCTTGTTTTAACAGATGGGTCTTGGATTTGTTTTTCTTTTCTTTTTTTTTTTACTTGAATGTTTATTATAGCTGAGATACACAAATAATAAGTATATGTAACCTATAACTCTGCTTATACAGTCCAACATGTAGCTGAAGCCTTCTCCCTTCCCCAGCTTAAATGCTTTCCTTCTCTGACATGGAGAAGAGAAATTTGGTATCTATTATTCCCATATGCTTCTTTTTTAAAACAACTTTTTAAAACTTTATTTTCAGAATGAGGGAAAGGAGAAAGAGAGGGAAGGAAACATCAGGCAGTTGCCTCTAGCACGCCCCTAACTGGGCACCCAGCCCATGACCCAGGCCTGTGCCCTGACAGGGAATCAAACCGGCAACTTTTCGTTTTACAGGCTGGTGCTGAGTCCACTGAGCCGCACCAGCCAGGGCTCCCATGTGCTTCTTATATTTTTACTTTTAATTGTATGTCTTTAAGAAATATATATATTATTTTTCATGCTATAACTTTATGTAAACATAATCATGTGTGTATATAAATATTTTTAACCTAGTATTACATTTTTAAGGTTTATCCACATTGTGGATGTTACTCTATTTTTTAAAATTTAATTTAGTTTTACTTTTAAACCACAGTTTCCTACCCTTCCACACCATTTTCAGATGTACAGCAAAGTGGCCAAAATCAATTACTTAATTGTTATTGCTCTAGTTGTAGTGGGTACTCTGGTACTCTGCCCAGACCTTCCCTTCAGAACTGAACATGCATTCTCCACCCACTCATGCTGACAGCTGGTAGCTGCATCCCTTACTGGGACTTGTTCTTCGCCCAAGACACTGTTCTGCCCAAGGTTGTGCTCCCTCCCAGAGGAGTGCTGTGAGAGCTGAGTGCTGCAGGGATATAAAATCTACCCAACTAGCCTCCATTTTTTTGTACAACTCTGAAGAGCATCCCAGTGCTGGAGCTCCATGTATTGTCAGCTGAGGCCTCAGTTGTGACCTCATTGGGCCAGTTTCTCTCCGTTCCCAATTCTGCCTCCCACACCCACTCACAGGTGTGTCTCCTAGTAGCATTCCCTAGGAAACTTCCTGCACGCTATTCCCTCTCTTTTTCCAAGGAATGCATTTAAGACAGTTGGTATGTTCTGTGTATTTTTTTCAGATGGATAACCAGTTGTGTAAGTACCGTCTATCAAGTCAATCAACCCCTATGTGACATAAATACAGTATATTATGTACTTATAGTGAGACATACTATTTGTCATTATGGTGTGTATTATGTTACAGTTACTGTTTCTCTATATGTTTTCTTGGCTCTTTTAAGCATCTCTTTTGATATTTGGGAAGGTTTATATCTTTATTCTAATGGTACCGTTTTTCTTACTTAACATTTGATCAGTTTTAAATGGTATTCTGCCTGAGCAATGTAGCTCAGTTGGTGGAGCGTTGTCCCACAAAGCGAAAGGTTACTGGTCTGATTCCCTCTCCGGGAACTCCCACACCCCTCCGTTTTGGGTTTGGTCCCCAGGCGGGTCAAGTAGGAAAGGCAAGTGATTGATGTTCCTCTCTCACATAGATGTTGCTCTCCCTCTCTTTCTCCCTCCCTTCCCCATCTCTAAAAATAAATAAGTAGATTTTTTAAAAAATGGTATCCTTTGACTCCCATCTGTATAACAATCAGTGTTCTTACTCTACTTTCCTCCTTTTCTCTCCTTCCAATTTTTAGTTGTATTCTGTCTACTTTGTGAGAACATGTAATGTTTACATATTATTCTTCCCTCCATGACCCCAGTCTTGTTTGAGTTTTACCTCTACAATGCAACATACGCAATGCTGTCAGTCCCCTTGCAGAACTGTCCCAGGCATACTTTGGTTGGATGAAGCTCATCCTGTAAATGAGTCCTGAGAAAGGGCACACATCCATAGTGTTCCCTTGAGTTTTGCCATATTCAAAGTGGGTGTTTTACTTTTTAGTTTTATTGATAAAATTGATATATGACATTGCGTGAATTTAAGGTATACAATATCCTGGTTTTATACATGTGTATATTATGAAATGATGACCACAATTAGCTAAACATCCATCACCTGACATATTTAAAAACCTTTAACTCCCTTAGCAGCTTTAATATATGTAATATATAAAGTATAAAATACTAACTGCAGTCACCATGATGCACACATTACATCCCCACACTATACCTCATTTTTGGAAATTGGTACCTTTGGACCACTTCCACGCAATTCCCTCCCCCCACTTCTGGCAACCACCAATCTGCTGTTTCTTGGTTCAGTTTTTTCAGATTCCATACGTAAGTGAGATCATGTAGTGTTTGTCTTTCTCTGATTTATTTCATTGAGCATAATGCCCTCAAGGACCACCATGTCACTGGAAAAAGCAGAATTTCCTTTTTATGGCTGGATAATATTCCATTTTGTGCATATGTTTTTAAATATGTATGTGTTTAAAAAAAAACAACAAAATTCAACCAAGTAAACATGAAGATCAAACTGGCTTTATTCGTGATTCATGAATTGGCCAGCATCCTATCTAGCAACTAGAAGGGTGCTCTGAGGAGTTGATCAAAGGGCAGGTTTTTATAGGGAGAAGGGTGGGACAAGGAAGCTATTAGCAAAAGAAAGGATTAGTTTGGGGCCTGGACATCTTTGTTGGGGAGAAGAGAATGGGAAGAGGCAATTCATAGCAGACTGCCTCTCCTTTCTGTGGGGTCAGAGAGGGCCTTTGTGATAGATTACTGGTGTGACCAGGAAATTCCAGACTGGTTGACTAAGGTTATATTTCTGGGGATGAGGTGTTGCAGAATGGCACCTGAAAACTACTTTTGTTAACAAGTGTCACCCCGATAAATAAAAAGGGGAAAAAAGATTACATTTCTGTGAAAGGTTGAAACTGCTATTAGACTATTAGATCAGGTTGATTAAATCTTGGTTTGGTGTCATGGGCTTTTTAGCACGAGTGACACCATTTTGGGCCTGTGGTTTTTCATATTTATGTAAATATATATATGACATCTTCTTCATCCAATCATCTTCAATACACTTAGGTTGTTTCTCCATGTCTTGGTTATCGTACATGCTACAGTGACCATGGGGGCGCAGCTCTCTTCTTCGATATAGTGAGTTTGTTTCTTTCAGATCTGTTCCCAGAAGTGGAAATGCTGGATTGCATGGCAGCTCTATATTTAAGGTTTTGAGAAGACTCCAGACTGTTTTCTGCAGTGGCCGCACCAGTTGACATTCTCTCGAACAGTGCACAAGAGTTCCCTTTTCTCCACATCCTCACTAACGCTTGTTCGCTCTTATCTTTTTGATGACAGCCATTCTGACAGGTGTGAGATGATATCTCATTTGGTTTCGATTTTCATTTCCCCGGTGATTATTGATGTTGAGCACCTTTTTTCACATACCCGTTGTACATTCATATGCTTTCTTTGGAAAAATGTCTGTTCCATTTCCCTATTTTTAATAGGATTGTTTGTGGAGTTTTTGCTGTTCAGTTCTATGTGTTTTTAAAAATATGTTTTGGATATTAACCCCTTATCAGATATATGAATAGTAAATATTTTCCCCATTCAGTAGGTTGCCTTTTTGTGTTATTTATGGCTTCCTTTTCTCTGAAAACACTTTTTAATTTTTTTTATTCATTGATTTTAGAGAGGAAGGGGAGGGAGGAAAGTATGGAGGAAGGAAGAGAGATATCAATTTGTTGCTCCACTTATGTATGCATTCGTTGTTGATTCTTGTATGTGCCCTGACTGGGGATTGAACCCACAGCCTTGGTGCATTGGGACATGTGCAGAAGCTTTTTAGTTTGATGGAGTCTCACTTGTTTATTTTTGCTCTTGTTGTCTTTCCTTTTGGTGTGTCAAATCCAAAAAATCATCACCAATACTGATATCAAAACTCTTTTTTGATGTCCTTAAAACTTGAGGTACAGCTTGGCAGGGTATAATATCCTTGGTTTACATTTTCTAAAGTTTCTTGAAAATTCTGTTCTACCTTTGTCGTGCTTATGTGTTATTTTTGAGGCATCTGACACTGTGTAATTCCTTTGCCTTTGTGAAATATTTTATCTTTCTGCTGGAATGCCCTGGGTTTTTTTTTTTTTCCTTCATAAATACCCTCCTCGGATATACATCACAGTTTATCATTCTGGGTCAATTTTCCTAAGTAGCTGGTAGGCGTTTTCAACATATAGATTCTTTATTTCATTTTCATTCTCTTTATTGTTTTTCTGCTTTTAGGATATTGAAGGTGTTTGTTTGTTTTTTAACTTTTAAAAATGTGTTTATTGATTTTAGAGAGCGAAGAAAGGGGAGAAAGAGAGGACCATCCATGTGAGAGAGAAATATCAATTGGATCAAACCTGCAGCCTAGGTATGTGCCCTGACCTGGAATCAAACCCCCAACCTTTTGGTGAATGGTACTACATTCCAACCAACTGAGCCACACCAGCCAGAGCCATCTTGAGGGTTTTAAGGACTGGGAGTTTAGGGGAGGGCTTAGGGGAGGATCTCAAACTGATACACTAGGGAACATAGGATTTTGTGATTTACTAGATGGTTGTAAATGGCTTAGCCTTTTAACTGTTTCAGTTTCCCTATTCTACTTCTTGTGGCTCACTAGCCTGTCTCACAACTCCCCAAACTCCATGGCCTCCTTAATTCAAATCATTGTTAGAGGCAGAGGGAGGGGCCTCTGCCCCCAGGGTTCTTTACAGATTCTTAAGGCAAAGGCCAGACAGATTGAAAGAGGGAAATGAGGTAAGTAGGCCCTTCAGCCCCCCTTACCATGTCTCACCACCTTTCCCTGAGGCTGGCAGTACGAGCATTGGCTGAGGGTCAGGCCCAAACCCAGCCCCACCAGGAACGGACACAGGAGCAGGAGGAGTCGGGTCATACTGGCTTTGTACTGGCTGAGTCCCCATCCTGGGGCTGGCCATAGTCAAATGGGGGAGGAAGGGGAAGAGCCTGGTTTCTGGTGTGGGCAAGGCTCCTCCACACTGACCATGGAGCTAAGGTCCAGAGAAGGATCTGGTTTATAATGCAGCCAAGGTAATGCCTGGGCCTGGGGGACACTCGGTCCTGTCCATGCTGCAGTTGGCACCTGGCCAGGCAGTCAGTGTGAGAATTCCTGGCATGCCTGACAGTCCTTCCTGTCCTCAGAGTAGTCCTCGGTCTGGACGGTCATGGTGTGGAAGTGGAACTTTCCCTGTAGGCGGGTGCTGGCTATCAGCACAGCCTGGGCATCTGAGTGATGGTGTTGTGGACAGACAGCACAGACTGGGCCACAGTCAGCGCCCAGATATGCAGGCTGTGCAAGGCTTCCATCCCCTCCTCCCACAGCAAAAAGCCCTGAACAGTTGTGAAGTCCACGCCTTTGGGGATGTCCCTTCCATCAGCACCAGGGTCGTCTCTCAGGATGGTCGAGGCTATCCCCAGGACCAGGATGGAGAAGAGGAAGGTGCAGATGGGGTCTGTGTACTTGTACTCGGGCTTGAAGTGTAAAATATAGGCCACCGCCAGGATGCCCAGGCTCTGCAGCAAGCCTCCTGTCATGTGAATAAAGGCAGCTCGGACACTGGGGTTCTCCTGCTGTTGGCTGGTGTCAGGGCTATGCCAGTGGCCAGACTGCTGAAGAGCCAACCCCCTTATGATGTTCACGGCCATAGCGCAGCCCGCAGTCATCAGCATGGTCCTCTCCTCAGTCCCCAGAGATCAGCCGCTCCACTGCCTGGTACACCAGTACCCCAGTCACAACACAGATGGACAGCACAGAGAGCAGGGTTCCCAGGATCTCAGCTTGCTGTCAGCTTAAGTTCATGGTCTTGGTGGCTGGCCAGGGGGACATCCAGAAAGAGAAGAGGCTGATGAGCATGCTGGCAAAGCCAGTGAGTAGATGGGCTGCATGATTGCCCAGCTCCGTGCTAGGTACCCACCAATGATTTCCCCAGACATGAACACCAGGCAGATGGCAGCAGCCAGAGAGAGCTGGTGACATGCCTGCTGTCTCTTGGGGTTTCTTGGGGTTGCAGTGACTGCCAGGACCCTTCTGGGCATGACAGTAATGGTTGCTCTCCACAGCCAGCTCAGTGGATGACAACTCCGAGTCAGGTAGGGACACAGAAATCCAGCCAGCCCCATCCTGTCACGGACATCCGTGTAAGACCAGGCTCTGGGCCTGGCGTCCAACAGATTCTGCTCATCTGTGGCCTTCTTGCGGCCCTATGTTCTCCACACTGGGTCCAGAGGTTGCTCACCAGACACTGTGCTGCACGCACCTGCAGGAAGAGCCTGTGTACTTCTCCCATCCCGCCTTGTGCGCCCCGTGCTCCACCCTCCGCTCTGAGCACCGAGCGCTTTATCTGGTCCTCCCCACCGGGCGTGAAGCAGCCTGCTGCACACCATGTGCAGAAGACCGCAGTGAAACAGGAGGGCATGGGCGGCCTCAAAGGATGCCCGGGAGCTGCCCCGGAGCACCTCTCCGCTGTGTCCCTGGGGAGTCTACCTGGCTTGCAACGAAAAGCCTAACCGCCTCTACGAAGTTAGGGCTGAGCGAAGGCTGCACGTGCTCTCCACGAGATCTGGCAGTGTCCCACCGAGAGGCCTCGTGTCTTGGTTTGTAGGAATTCGCTTTTGATCCCCCTAGAGCAGGGATCCCCCCGAGAGTGGCTCCTCAGGCCACAGTTGTGGCTTCCCCTCCTTTAAGTTTTTATTGAAGTCTCTTGTCCCTGTGTGCCTTATAATTTAGTGTATATTTCACGTGTGATTTTGCCTTTTATTTCTTTCTGTAGCTCAGTTTTGTTTAATTTCTTTTTCTGTCCACTTTGGTTCTTAGTTTTGATATTTCTGACCCAGGGTGTTTTTTTCCCATATCTGCAAATTATTGTCTGAGAATATTTAATTCAGTTAGAGGTGTGTGTTAACAGTTCTTTCCAACTTCATGGTTGGTTTTGGGGAAGAAAACTATCAACAGGAAAGCTTTCGTGTGTGTGTTTTTGTCTTTGTGCGGTACTTCTGAATGCACGTGGTCTGCTTTTGTTGTTGTTGCATCTGTTCAGCTGGTGGGCAGAGTTCCTAGTTTGAGAGTTCTGTCACTCCTCCCTCTTCTGTTCAGTTCCTTCTATGAACTGGTGGTATTGACAGTGAGGGGTGAGGGAGTGGGGTAAAGGATTGGTAGGGCTTGTTTTTACTTTGTTTCCTCGGATCTTTACTTTCCCTTTTCTGTCTTTCCATTTATTGCTTAGTCTCCCAGAGGTATGGTCTGTTGTCTGTCTCTGTGCCTGATTCCCCCTAGGAGCACTTTTTCTGGGAGGCTGCGGCCGGTTGGTCCAGCAGTTTCTAGTCCAGCATCAAGGTCTTTAGGGGAGGATCCTTTCTTGCCTCTTTCAGCTTCTAATGACCCCAGGCATTTCCTGTATTTGCCGCAGCACAGTCCAATCCCTGCCTTCATCTGTCGTCTTGTGGCCGGCTCTCCTGGTGTCTTTGTGTTTATCTTTTCTCTTCCAGTAAGAACACCAGTCCTACTACTGGGTTAGGGCACACCCTGGTTTCGGAATGGCCTCACCTTAACTTGATTATATCTGCAAAGACCCTATTTCCCAATAAGGTCGCATTCACAGGTTTAGGGCTTGAACATACCTTTTTGTGGGACACAATTCAACCCATAACACCTATATAAGGACAAAATTTTAAATACCCCTGAAGGACTTAGAAGTAAATTTGAATAAATGAAAATGTATACTTTGTTCTTAGATAAGAAGACTCAATATTTTGAAGATGTGAAACTTATAAATTAAATTAATTTAGGGAGGATTGGTATGATCCAAGAAAATCACTGGCAGGAGTTTTGTTTTTGTTCCCCCACTCGCCCCCCCCAAAGAATGGGAGGTGCGCATTGCAAAGTTCAAATGAAAAAGTACACAAGTAACACTCTGAAAAAGCACATGATAAAGTTGCAGGCAAATGCCATTTTAAAAACCTATGGAATAAAGACACTTAAGAAGCCTACTGCACTGGGGCGGCTGTGCAGAAATAGTTACTTTTATGTGTGACTGGTTGGAGTGCTAATTTCCTCAGCAGCTGTAGGGGGCAATGTAGCAGTATTTCTAAAAATGCATATATCATTAGATGAAACAATTTCACGTGTACACTTACATATGTATAACGGTAGTCACTGAAGCATTGTTTATAATAGCAAAAGATTGGAAACCCACATTCTGACCGGAAGAAACTGGTTGAATGGTGGTGTAGTCATATAACAGAGCATTAGGCAGCTGTAAAGGGGAATGAACATACTGCCATTCAGTAAATTGCAGTATAAAGATGTAAAGGGCTCCTGTGAAGGTGTGGGGAAAAGTGAAGAAGTTTCCTACCTACTCAACAATAAAGAAAATTTCAATTTAATACAGAAACTAATTTTTTAAAAAGCTTTCAGAAAAAGTTTTTAAGTGAAATTAAAAATTTAAAATAAATTTAAAAAGTTAAAATCTGATCCAGTGCTATATGAGTTGTTTTATATGAAATTCTGAAGACTTCTTTTGGTATAATGTTATTCTTTTATATGGTTTATTGTAATAATTACATGTTTTCTTATACTTTGAGGATATAGTTATTATATCTGAACTCAGATATATTTGGAACTTAGTACAATACATAAGGGCATGTCTTCTAGTTCCTAGGTTGATAGTCTGTCATTGCCATTTACACAGTTGGTTAATTGGGCAGATTACTTCACCTGTAAAGTTCAGATTCTCATCTATAAAACATGAATAGTATAGCATACAGGAAGGAACCTAATACATAGAAACAAACACAGGGAGGCTGCCAAACTGAAGAAACAAAGAAACGTGGCCTTAATGAAAGGACAGATCAAAACTCCAGGAAAGGAGCTAAATGAAATGGAGATAAGCAGTCTATCAGATTTCTGGTAGAAATTATGTGAGATCATACACATGAAACACATAGGAAAGTGCCTAAGTAGGTATGTTTCCCAAACTTTGAAACATGTATTTAAAGTTAATAATGTCTCCCATATAAATAAGCCTTTGGACTTCTGGTCAAGATGGCAGCATAGGTAAACACAGCTCACCTCCTCACACAACCACATCAAAATTACAACTAAAATATACAACAACCATCACTCAGAACCATCAGAAGTCGAGTTGGATGGCAGTCTGACAACTTCAGAATTAAAGAAATCACATCTATCCAGAGTGATAGGAGAGGGGAGATGTGGAATGGGCTGGTCCCACAACCATGTGTAGTGGATGATAATTAAGGGGGGATGTCTTGGGAGCGAGGAGTCCTAGTCCCACCCCAGGCACCCCCAGCCCAAGGATCCAGTGCCAGGAAGATAAGTCCCCATAACTTCTGGCT